CTGAAGGAGTATCGGATGTTATTGTTGCTTTATTGGATGTAATTGTCGCAGCGAGTAGAGGAGGAGGAGGAGGTGCTGGACTTGACTTGAGAGTTGAAAGAGGGGTGCTTCGAGTTGCGGCTTTTGTTGGTTTGGGGATTTTACTCGTAGGAGTCTCATCGTCATCTCCATCATCACCGTCATCTTCATCATCTTCGTTTGACGAGGCTGTAGGCACTAACAATATATTTACAGGTAATGAAGGTTTAGGTGATGATTTATTTGATAAATTAGTCGCTGGTTTGGAAGATAGTTTAGGTGAAGGTTTAGTTGAAGGTTGAGGTGAAAGTTTACGTGAAGGGATTGGCGTGGATTTTTTTGGTGAATTTACACTAGGACTAGGTTTTGGGCCAGGAGGAGTTGGGTTTGGGTCTTTTTTTTAATATGAGTGAAAAAAAATCAAATTATAGCCCGGATCACACCCTCTTTTATATGTTAGTATGAAATTAAATACATTGAATATAATTACATTTAGATTTTTGTCCATTTACTACTGCCCCAAAGAGAATCAAGAACAATAAAATCCAAGGGAGTTTCATTTTTGTGGTTGTAATCGTCCAGCGAAGATACATTTTGTATAATCTGCTTTTTCGAATTTTGACTATCTACTAGCTTTTTTAAGGAGAGAAAATTAGTACCTTCCTAATTTGAATGTAGTCTGTGCACGAGTAAAACAAGAACTAAAGATTACTTTTGATGCGTTAATGAGTTAAGCTCAAAGCACAACTATGCGTGTATGTGTTGATTTTTTTTCCTTTGTATTAATGAAGGATGTATTTCATTCGTTTTTTCGAGGAATTGTTTTTTTTTTTTTTTTGCAATCGAGGAACAATTCGCCGACTGATTTGTTCCATATGATACCTTTGCAAAAAAAGCTCAACTAAAAAACCATAATGAAAAATTTATAAAAAAAAACAACACACGGTGAAAAGGAATAAAAGAACTGATATTTTCGAGGAACATTTTGCTGTTAATTAATACCGAGTAACAATCAATACAAATGCGGTGTTCTATAATGTGACAATTAAACATCGGTAATAATCTTTGTTAATGCCTTTCCTGATTGGATAAGTGGGTATGCACTTTAAAACATGTGTAAAATATTTACATTGAACAAATTAAT